ATGGGCTTTAAAATGAGGTGTCGCGGAAGTTGTAAACTGCTGTCGATCTTGCTGTGACCCCCTAGGAAAAGGTTATGCCCCGCCCTGTACAGCCTAAGTCGCCACTGAATCAAACACAATTAGGATTCCCATTTAAGAAATCTATCTAAATGTTAGCATTTATGTCATTAAAATCCATTAAAATTACACAGGTAATGCCTTGTCACTACCCTCTATTGTATTATCTAGATAGGTATTTAAAATTTGGCTGGAGTCTCACTATTGAGGCAAAAGAAATAGGGCCTCTATGAATTTTTCACTGCTTAATATAATAGCCCTAATACTTTGGAGCTTTGGAGCATAATAATAATCATAGCTCAGATTCCTACGCTTTAAAAAAAAAACCTTTCTTTTATCCAGCATCCACATAGAATCAACTCTTATAGAAAAAACACCCTGTATTTTTTCTGTTTCCTATTTTTTTGAATAGAAAAATATTATAAAATAACAGCAAAATATTTGCATGTTCCTATCATAGCAAAAGTAAATTCATGGCCCATAGAAAGCTGCTTACCCTTCAGCAAGGAAAATGCTGGTGCATTATTATTATTTTTATTCCAGAGTATTAAACTACTGTTTCATGAATTATTAAGAGTTACAAACATATTCAATTTGTTTATATACTAGCATGGTGGAGTGTATGTGAAACGAAATGGTGTGTTTAATGAAAAGGAGATGAGGAACAAGTTGTATGGGCAGATGGAAACAAATACTCCAGTAAGTTTCTCTATTTCCACTTTGTACAGTATACAAGCTAGTGCTCTCCCTCCCTCTCCCCCCTCCAAGTTTGTGTGTGCATGCATATCTTTGTGATATGAGGTGACACAAAAGTAAATTTCAGGAGTAAATTCATTTTTCTGCAATCAAATGCTGGTTTATACTTTACTTCTAAGAAGCGAGGGAGCTGTGTTAAGCAATTCTCTTCTTTTGGTTACTGGAACCTTCCAGGAAAAGTCCTGGAAAACTCCTGGCATTAGGATGTAAAACTGTTTACATAGAAAAATTAGGCTGAAGAAACATATTTTTTTCTTCTGATATATAAATTTTTATTTTAAACACATAAGCACATCAACAGAAACAAACACATGACTTAAAAACAACATAGGAACAATAAGT